TGGAGAGTATGGGCTGCCTGGCTCTCCACTCAGTAGTGTCTCACTGTTCATCTTAGTCTTGAGGCAGGAAATGTAACGGCTGCAGAAGTCCTTGCACAGGTCACTGACTTTCTCTAGCTCTAATAGATGAATCCTCAGCACCTGGATGGCCTTGACCATCTGATAGAAAGGAAACCGTTGTGACACTTGCCAGTGTTCGAAGTTAAGATCAAAGCTATGAGGTATATACAATAATATTAGCGATTTCGACACCGGTCACATCTCTTACCAAGTTGTCAAGGTCTGGGTCTTCGCTAAAGAAGGCTTTGCCATCTTTCTCCTGACTGCGTACAAAGTTTTCAATGTCAACATCAAAACTGGCAGAGGTTACGCAGTCAGAGCCCTGAGTAGACTGCTCACACTTCTCAAACAGCAGAGCCAAGAGAGGGAAGAGGGGATGTCTGAGGAGGGGAAGAACCGTGTGTAAGAGAAGACACTGTTCAAGTCACTTCTTGAACTAATATGCTGATTTGCTCCTCAAGAAATAATTCTTATTATCCAACAGTTGTGCTACTGCCACATGAACACAAAATTCAAAAGAACAGCATTTATTTGAAATCGATATCTTCTGTAAAAATTACAAATGTCTTCACTGTCACTTTTGATCAGCTGAATGCATCCTTGCTGAATAAAACTAATCATTTATTTAAAAAATATATTTCTAAATGTAATGTATATTTATAAAAAGTATAAATTCAGACACTCATGTCACCTATATATACAGGCTTTGTAGACATCCATTTGTGTTTGCGGTTCAGTGGATGCAGGGCTGCTGGAGCTTCCCGTGTTTCCACTGGCAAAGCCCTTCTCAAGGTCACTCTCTGACTGCTCCATGATCTGCATCTAATCCAGGAGAAAACAGCCAAAAAGGGACAATATGCTTGAAAGTGGTATTTAGCATTTGTAGCTCAATGACTTTATATCACTTCCAGATGTACACTTTAACAGTTCACAAAGACTCATAAACAGCAATGAAATATATATATATATAAAAAAATTTGAGTTTAAATGTTGATCGTCAACGTCAGGAACAAAACACTTACATTTATAATAGTTCTTTAAATTTCTCAATTTTATATGAGATTTGCAATTTTTGAACAGTTTAAAACCCTGACTTAAGTGATTGTTATCTAACAAAAAAAGAATCAAAATCAAAGTCAAAGGGAGCCAAACTAAATTTTATAATAGTTCTTTAAATTTCTATTAATTTGATGACATCTGTGCATCTTTTGTGGATTAAACCCTTGATTTGACTGATTTGTTTTCTAGCAAAAAAAAAATGATTAATTTAATTAATTCAAATCCAATTAAATGCTAGTCAATCGTTGGAATCCTCCTCACACAATGGACAGACGTACTGGACTGTGTATTTGTTGGACATTATCTCGATGGAACTCTCAACTTCTCGTATACATGGATCTAATGTGAAAACTGTAAATGTATGACATTCAGCTTTTAATGTTGTGCCAGCTTTTCTAAAATCTTTGTAAAAATTATTTTATTGGTATTTATTTATCTATTATTATTACTATTTATATATATATATATATATA